ATGTATGTATACATGTGTGTACATATATGTAAATGTAAGTATGTGTGTGTGCATGTGTGTTCACATATATATGTAAATATAGGTTCTTATATATGTATGTAGATGTATATGCATGCATGTATATGTAAATATAGGTGCAGGTGTATGTATACTGTGTGTGCACACATATGTAAATTTAAGTACTGTGTGTGTGCATGTGTGTACACATACATATGTAAATATAGGTATGTAGGTATATATAAATGTATATGTGTGTAAAACTGCAAATACTCTTCAAGAAAGTGCCTTCCAAAACTCTTCCAAATTACCACAAGGCAGCTAGATCTCTCCAAGTCAAACAACTGCCTTGGGACCTCTGGGCGATACTAGCGAGAGTACTTCTCAGTCCTCCTGCATTTCAATTTTTCTAAAATCTTCTCAGCAAGTTATTAAAAACCTCAGTACAACAGAAGACGCAGGCACATTTTTGTTTTGACCACAATCCCACTTAAATTACCACTTGTCTTGAGTTTCAGAAATGGTACACACCTCTTGATTACACCATTTCCTTGGTAGAACTTAAATAAATAAGGAACTCTACATTTCCTTTAACTGGAGGCCCTCTCTTTCCCCTCCCCAACATGCACTCATATGTACACACACATGCACACACATACACACACACACTCAGGCACTATGCACACATACATGCATGCACATGCAGAGTCACCTGTGCAGACAACAGTATTCCTTTGCTAAAAACTTCAAATCTAGGTCCTTGATTTTCACACATTTTTCCCTAACCACATTACAAGAAAATCAGGTATATAATATTAAATTCCTTATTTCCCTAACAGTTAGACTGACACTTGCTTATAGTTTAGGGTCTCTTGACATTTCATGGCTGTTTCCTAGGAAGTCACAAAGTCAGAATCCAAGGTAATCTTGTAATCAGGGCCTCAGCTAATACTTGAGTCTGTCCCACTCTGCTGCCTTTCTCTCGCTGCCATATGCACTGCTATCTGGCTGTTATAGGCATCAGTCCTCATTGCTTTGTGAATTCTCCTTGTTCAAAACTTTTAACACTGCCAGATATGTACTCTCTGTAAGTCCAACGAGCACATCAAATGGACTTTCTGAGGGAGGCTTCTCCCATGATCGACATCCTTCCCCCTGCCAGGAGCACGTTACCCAGTACGCTAGGCTAGGTATTCTGATGACTTCTTCACCAGCTCCTCCCAGAGGGTCTTATGCCTTCTGGTTCCCACCAGCTCAGCTCTCTTCAGTGGTGTTCAGAAACAGTGCCACTCAATCTGTCATATCCCTGTTTGGAAATATCTGAGTGCATACACATTGCCTTCCGAAGCAAATCCATACTTCTCAGCCTGCAAATCAACATATTCTACAATTGCTCTCCAACTTATTTTCTGGTTACTTTCTCTCTACCTCTTAGACAATAAATTAAATCCTTTACATTTAATCCTCATGATAATCCTCTGAGATGGGTATTATCTTTGTTTTTTGATAAAGAAATTGAGGCATATAGAGGCTAAGTAACTTGCCCTTAATAACCCAATGTATTTCATTTCCTGATATTACCTTAAACTTGGTGGCTTAAAACAACAGAAATTAATTCTCTTGCAGTTCTGGAGGCTAGAAATCTAAAATCAAATGTCGGTAAGCCATACTTACCTTGTCGGTAAGCCATACTCAGCCATACTCAGCTCAGCTGCTGGTGGTCCCAGGCATACCAGACAATCCTGTGCTTGCAACTGTGTCATTCCAATCTTTGCTTCTGTCTTTACACAGCCTTTCTCCTTGTATATCTCTTCTGTGTCCAAATCTCTCTTTTCTCTTACAAAGGCCCACCCTAAATCCAAGATGATTTCATTCAGGATCTTTAACTAATGACATCTACAAAGACCCGATTTCCAAATGAGGTCACATTTTAAGGTGGACATAAGAGGGGGGAAGGAGAGAAAGACACAATTCAACCCATTACATCCAATAAGTAAGAATTTGAAACTATGTCTATCTGACTCTAAGCCTCCTACATTTAACCACTCTACTTAACCACCTCCTAGAAAGTCCTGGCCAAATTGGACTTCTCTCATTTTTCTAAACAGATTTTTCTTTCTTGCCTCCGTGCCCTCGCTCATCTTATTTTCTTTACACAGACCAACCTCTCCCTTTTTCTTTCCTTCAACCAACTCTACCCATGGAAATCTTGAGTAGTCTTCAAGATCAAAGTAGCTCAATGCTACTTCCTCCAAGAAGACATCCTGATTGCACCAGTCAAGTAGGGAATCCTTTTTCCCACTCAGATTCCAACTGCCTTATTTTACAGATCTCTGCTGGCCCTTTGTATTGTCTACATCATATTTTAGGTTTTTGTGTAGTTGTCATCATTCAACAAAATGCTTGCTTCTAGCTGCTATTTTACAACTATGTTACAAGCTAAGTCTTAATTATATCATAAGATTTTTAATGGCAAAACCGCCTTCTCCCATCAGGCATTCTCCATAGAACTTTGCACAAGCAGTAGCTCCATAAATTTAGCCAAGTGAATTCATATCATCTACCTCTTTTCTTGTATTGAAAAGTTCATGTATTAGTAAGCGAAAATGTAAGATGCTTAAAAACCAACCTTTCTCCAATGCTCCCACTTCTCCAAAATGGACTTTTTTTAAATAGCCCAATTTATTTTTCTGCATCAAATTCAATCATTTTAATAATATTATTTCCTCCATTTGAATTTTATCTAATGACAGCAAATCCAGTCCTTTCCAAGTATAATCTTTGAGTGGTTTTGTTGGTGTGGGTTGTTTTTTTTTTTTTTTTTTCATTTTTTTCCTATGTCCAATACCACTTTCTTTTCAGGACAAATTTACTACTGTCAAGGGCTCTGAGAACCAGAACATCATTCCCAGCACCTGACAGTGCCTGGATGCCCAGTAACGTCTGAAGAATGCATGAGCAAATGAAAGCGTGAATGCTGCATTAGGGTAGAAGTGGAAGCATTTTCCTGGGATGATAACTTACACTTTTCCAGGTCCCACATTATCTTCACCACACCCCTGTGAAGTAGGCATTGTTATCCTCACATCACAGATGAGAAAACAGGTTGAGAGGATAAGGAAGTTACTCTTGGTCACACACCTAGTAGGTGATGAAATCAGATTGCAACCAGCTCTGTTTGACTCCAGAACTGTAGCTCTTAAACAAAAACACCTCTCAGGGACACCTCTCAAGTTAGAATGTGATCTAAATTGTCCTGCCCTGGCTCAAGTTGAGGTAGCATTGGTGTGACAATCCTGAACATGCCCTTAAGCTTGGGAGGTATGGAAACTGTTGGCCATTGACTGAGAAGGTGTGAAATAAATGAGGAATCTGTGAGAACAGAGAATAGTGTAGATAATGTGTATGGGTAGGGTGTGTGTGTGTGTGTGTCTGTGTGTGTATGTGTTATGGGATGTATGGGCACATATGTGGCATGCGGGATGTCTATAGTGTGGGATGTTTGTGTGCTGTGTTTGCTTTATATATGTTATATATGTGTGCTGTGTGGAAGGCTGTGTGATATGCATGTGATTTGTGTATGTGTGTGGTATGTGGTATGTGTGGTAGTACATGGGATAAAAAGGGCTGTGTCTATAGGAAAGTTTTAGATACTAAAATATGCAAATGACTCTGAGGCCCATCTGGACACCAGTCCTGACCTAGTTATTTAACATCTGAATGAACTTGGACAAGTCACTTATCTCCCTGAATTTGGTTGCTATAAAATGGCCTGCCAACCTCACAGCCATTGAAAGGGTCTATTCAAAAAGAAATACTATGAAAGTCCCAGTACATGAAAGGCACCGCACTGACATGAGTAGAAGGATGAAAAGGAAAAAAGTAGTGGTTGCTGATTTTAAGGAGTTTCCATTCCAATTGGGGAAGTAGACATGAAAAACTAACTCTATTTTATGCATAATGGAAGACATGTGACAATGAAAACTAATATCACTTGAGCTCCTTATGGTTTGGCAGATTAAAAGATGTCAATTTCACAACCACCTTACAAGGTAGATGTTATTAGCAAGCCCATTTTGGGGATGAGAAAACTGATGGTTAGAAAAGTTTAAATTTTAACTACTCCAAATATATACTCATGTAATTGACCCTGCAAAATTCAGCCCAAGTCTGTGTGTAACCTGAATCATTACTCTTCTCACTTCCCTGTACTGTTTCCTTGATCAATTCAAAGATGCAAAGAGTACAGATGTGGGAACCTTTGCTCTCAACCTTGAAAAAGCAGGAAAAAGGCCCAAGAAAGCAGAGAAGAGACATCTTTTAAAACTGTGTTACTTTAGTCAATACGTGAGGCCCCACGATTTTCACTATTAGTGTATGTCAGATTACAAACTCAGGAAGACAAAGAGGTGAGAATGAAAGAGGGCATATGTAGGAGCCAGAGAAGATGTGAAAGAGAAACACCAGGAAATTCCATTCCAGCAAAACAGTTACACACTGCCATTGGCTAGATGCCACACGATTAACGTCAAACTGTATTAATGTCAGAGAGGAGAATTTGGTTAAAGCCTTGCCTGTATAGATCTTAGGCTAAAAATCATCAGTTTTCTTTTTTTTCTTGTAATCCTTTATAATTTCCTCTAATGCTTTAGTCAAGCTTAGGACCGTGAGCCTTCAGGGAGCAAAGCAAGACACATCTGTTCAGCCAGAATTTGCCAAACCAAAGTAAAACATCAACCTGGCTTTTACTACAACTTAGAATTTAGATGACCCCAAATATTTCCCGATTGTATCTGCCAAAAATAACTTTGCATTACTGTGAATCCTGGTTGCAAGAAGAGACGTGAAGGATACTTTTTAAAACAGATAAAGACTGGACTATTGCTAATAAAAAGAAGTAAAATAATAAGTATATTTCTTTAGAATGTGCTTATTCTAAAAGCTATATCAAAACATGTAATTATAATCATCTTGGTTGGGGAGAAAAAACATTTAAGAATGTCTTTTTTTTTCAAAGATTTTATTTATTAAAAGACATAGAGGTAAAAATTTACATATTCTGAAAAAGATAGAAAATGGTAATAAAATGGACATTTTTCTTATTAAGAAATATGTCATAGATATGTTTATCAAATGATATTATTTTGCAAAATAACAATAAATAGAGCAGAGCTGTGGCATATAAGAGTTAACTCAAAGTATTATAAGTATTTATGTTTTGTATTTTATAAAAATTCAGACCTTTGATTATATTTTTAAATTTGGCATTTTGCACTCTAGGTTATCATTAACTTAGATTTTAAAAATATTTTTATGATGGCCCTATGATTTAAAAAATAATGAAACACAAAAGGTGGTTCGACTAAATAGAATTTGATTAAAATAATTTCCCCTGAATAAAAAATAATAAGACACAAAAGTAAAGATATAATTTTTAAACCCATAAACCTATGTATGAGTTCCCAATTCTACAAATTTTTGGTTCCCAGCTGTGAGCATTGAACAAGAATTGTTAGCTAAGCTTTAGTTTCCAGCAAGGTCCATCATTTCTTTTCACAGCTTGATGGAGCGATAATAGTCATAATCATGACAAGCCCAGTTCTTCAGTCCTAGAATGTAAGATACAAAGAAAGTTCTCCCTCCTTTAAATAAACCCTTTGATGTGTTCCTGTATTTGTTTATGACCCATTGGCCTCAAATTCACATATCAGAACACTGGAAAAAATTTTAATAATGAAAAGTTACTGTTCTAGGCATTCTATTGTGGGTTTCAATTCTCTACTATCCAAAGGAGAGAGGAAACACATGTGAACACCAAACACATCCTCTAATGAGTCTTGGGTATTCAAGTAGCAAGATCAGGCTTTTCCTGTAAATAAATATTGACTCTTTACAAAGATCTTTCATTTCCCATGCATTTTGTTGCCCATGAGGGTAACACAATTCCCAGCTGTACTAGGGGAAGCCACACCTAACAATACTTAAGGATCCAATCTAATATAGATTATCAGTCCCAATGGCCCTCAACGACATCCATCAGGGGGACATCTGGGTGGCTCTGGGTGCCTAGAGCACCGAGAGGTCATGGCAGGATTTAGACTTGAGCTTGAAGGCCATATTCTTGTTGTTTTTGGCCACAATCTTGCCCCAGAAGCGCCTGGCTTTCCTGGGAATGCTCTCCTTCCTTTTCTGGTAGGCCAGCCGCCGCTCATTCTTCTCTTTGCTGTCCCGCCGAAGGCGGACCTGCCGCACGATACCCTCAAACAGCTCCTTCACGTTGTGCTGGACAGCCGCAGAGGTCTCAATGAACTTGCAGTCGAACACCACAGCACATGCTCTCCCTTCTGGGAAGGGGAGAAGGAGAGAAGAAAGTCAGAGGGGCAGCAGAGTATGATACCACACCATACATAGCTAAGTTGGAGGACTGCTGACTTTAAATGGTCCTCAAGGTAATGAGTATCACGGGCGATGAATGAATATAGGAGGCAACATGTCCTCTCAGGACATAAATAGAAGCAAAGAGTCTCACAGGAAGATTCCTAGAAGCTGGAGAGATGGGCTTTAGATCTGGCCTACCAAATTCACTGTGTGAAGGTCCTAGTTCATCGAATATAGTAAGATTTATTATAACAGTAAAAACCATAACTTTATTTATTGCACTTACTATGTGCTAGTAACTGCTTTATAAACATTTCTTAATGCTCACAACAGTCTTGAAAAATACATTATCCTTTACAGATAGATGAAGAAACTTGAGGGGAGGGCGATCTTTTAAACACCTGAGGGAGTGCACAAAGCCAGTAAATGGCAGATGTGAATCCAGGCCTGCTTTATTCTCAGTATTATATTCTTAACTCTCCTCTGACTCAGCTTCCTGAACTGAAAATAAGAATGCTACTACATGGCTCTCCTCTCAAAAAACTATTTTTTTAAGTTTTGATGAGAAATTTTGAAAAAAATTTGAAGACATCACAAATATATGATTCAATTACAGAAAACTATACAAACAAGCTTTTCTGAAAAAGTCCCAATTTCAAATGTTCCATTGTGTTTAATAATCATGTGTCCAAGTTTTGATTTGAAAAAGTGATCACTGTAGACACTTAAGAGTAAGACATTCCCAAACTAATTGTGTCCATTAAGTCTTTAATGTTTCTTTTCTCTTGAGCAGAGTCTGGCAAAGCACTTGGGTATCCACTCAGTATAAAGGAATTACGCCTAAACTAAATGTGAAAAAAAATGTGTGTGACATCATCAAACTGATGTCTTAATTGAAATTTAGGATGCAAAGGGTGAGGGGTGAGGAGGGTTTCTAGGGTCTACAGGAAATAGAGGCAGCCAGAGTAGAATACTTATCCTCAATAAAACTCTTCACCACAGTTCCCTTAAATCAGAATTCCCATCCTTCTTGGATGAAGATGCTACTTCCACTTCCCTGAACTCTTGAGATCTCCCTAGAGAATAGAAGGAAGCAGGAAAAAAGGTTGGGAACTGCCAGTAAAGCCCTGAGCATGATCTCTTCCCTAAAAGAATCCCAGGGAAACCCTTGTGGGTGGGGAGATTGGAATCCTGCAGGTAGACAAGATGGATGAGGGAGCAGCACCCAGCACAGAGATGACCTAATAGGAATGTAGGATTCTCAGAGTATATATAAAACTCCATGTAGCATTTTAATGAATCCAGCTTCATGAAAGAGGAAGTGAAGAACACCTGTTTGAAAGAAAATGCAGGCGAACCAGAGATTGTTTCTATGCCATTAGCACCACTCCTCTTACCTGAAACAGACACTTCCCGGCATCGCACCAGGTCACTTTTGTTGCCAACCAAAATAATAGGAATGTCCTCTGTCTGGCGGGCCCTGCGGAGCTGGATTCGTAGCTCAGATGCCTTCTCAAAGCTGGTTCTGTCTGTGATGGAGTAGACGATCAGGTAGGCATCACCGACTTGCATGCAGTGGTCTTGGAGCCATTCGTTCTCCCCCTAATGAAATAAGATCTTCCATGAGCACAGGTTGGCCTAGTAAATGAGGCATCAATTTACAAAGAAACAATACATGTATCCAAAATACCCTTGCTGATGTGAGAAAGGAAGAAAACTTATTCTAACTCCCATAATGCCTGCCAGACCCTAAAGTACTTATGCCAAAAGGCTTTTACTGTCCAATTCCTCCTACAGCTTGACTTAATAAAGTACACAATGGCTCTGCCAAACATTATTTTCAATTTCTATCTAAACTACTGAAAATGAGCCTTATCTGACTTCCAAAAAAACCTTTTGCCCATCCCAAGTGATAAAATTAAGAATTCTTTCATGAGAATAGGAAGGTTCTCAATAAATAAAAAGTCTAGCACATATGCACAGAAGCCCAACATCTTTAAAAATCAAATGTTGAAGACTAGTATTGAGAATGTCAACTTCAAGTAATATGGTTTTATACAGTTTAAAATTATCATTCATACTTGCTGGCACCTTCCCTAAAACAAATATTTTTTTTTGTATTTTTGAACAGAATAAGAGCAAATCACTGCAACTTGCTTGTTATTCAGAGCTCATTTGTGAATCACCTGTTCCTTAGAACAGTGTCATACTTCAAAAATAAAAGCTTTTAATCAAGAAAATGAGCCTGCCTCATCTGGAACACCAAAAAGGGCAAGGTCATTCTTGCATCGAACAGTCTGTTGGAAGGCAAACCCTGAAGGAATTTATAGAGCGCTCTGGGCTCTGTATACCTTATTTTCCCACATGTCCAGGAGTATGATTGTTGCACTTTCCCCATCCACAATCAGTGTTCGCTCATATGTATCTTCTAGAAAAGAAAGCACAGTGGTATTGGAGTCAAGCAAATAGATAAAAACTTTTATATAAGACAGTCATGTAGAAAATCATCCTAGAAAATAAATGTGCCAAATAAGCAATTAATTATATAAATGTAGACAAAGGCAAGTTGCTAATTTTTATCACCTTCAACAACATTCTACGAATATTCCTCCACTACTTACTAAGTGGAATGCCTAAGTTTGTTGAATGTGTATCACTAAACGAAAGGCATTCATTTTCCTCATTCTTAAACCTTTCATTTAGGAAAATCATTTGAGTATAAACTCACTGTAGAGTTTTTGACTCAGATTCAAGCTCTGATGCCATGAAAAAACACTAACTGTCCAGTGGCACTGTAAGCCCCGTTCGTAAGCCTTACATGGAAATCCACTGCACCTTGCAGTTGGGTGATTACTGAACATTCACTGGCAATTTCAGCAACTTTGAGCTCAGAGACATTTCTTTTGAGACATGCAAGAAAACAAATCTTGAGACTATCTCTGTTTCGGCTGAAACTTTCTTCCTGAAAAAAAAAAAAATACAGTTCCCTAGGCATAAACAGGCTTCTTTTTCTATCTTAAGTACAGCAGAAGTGCAGCCTTCAGCTCTCTACGTGGTAATGGAAACTTTCCTCTCTGCACTTGAGCCCAGGTCAGGTGTAGATGAAGGGTGAACACAGTGCAATGAGCCAGAGCAACTCGAGCCCAGGAAAATCGGGCAGACAGAGATTGAATTAACTCGGATTTTTACAAGAAGGATTCCATCAACTCCAGACAAGTGGGCCCATCCCTACTCTATTTTCACAATGAGATTTCCTGTTTTGAATTTCATCATTTGAAACATAATTTTCATAATGACTTTTGAAATCATTTTTCTTGCTGTTCCTTTTGCCTAGAATCTGTTCCCTCAAATATTCAGAAGATTTGTTCCCTTACCTCCTTTTGGGGAAGGTATTCCCTGACCATTTATTTAAAATTGCAATACTTCATCCCTCCTAATATTCCTTACTCCCTTCCCTGCTTTATTTTTCTTTGTTGCACCTACCCCCATCTAACATGCAATCCACTGAACTTACTTATTGTATTATTTTTTGACCCTCTCATCCCCTAGAATGTTAAGGCAGAGATTTGCATCTGTTCTGTTCACTGCTATAACCTCCAGCACCCAGGACAGTGTCTGGTATATTGCAAATGCTCAGTAAATACTTATCAAATGAATGAATAATACATACAGCATTACAACTGAGCACAAGCAAACCTAAATTGGAATCTGAGTGCCATTCCCTATTAACCAGGCGGCTGTGGATCACTTATTTAAGCTCTCTGGGCCTCAGTTTCTTCATCTGTGAAGTGCGATTGATAAGAGTATCCATGCCTTAGGGCTGTGTAACAATTACATATATTAAGCCTGGATACAAAGTAGAAATGCAGTAAATGTTAGCCGTTATCACTTCTTCAGATGGAGGCAGTTGGCTCTTGCCATACTTGGCATTTTCTACTATAAGTAAATCCTAGCTTAAGAGCGCTATGCAGGGGGAACCAGGACATTCTTGTTTTGTAATAGTGAGGAGTTTCTAAAAAGCATTGTTCCTGGTTTAATGTTTCTTCATCTAGGAACTGGGAAAGAAAGGAAAAACATGAACAAATGAGAAGTTAACCAGGGATGGCTCTGTGTTTCTGTCTGCTTCCCCACCTCCTTTAGGTATCATTCTTCTAATCAGTGGTGATTTTTAATGCCCCATTGGGACATTAAAAATCTATTATGCCTATCATGTTTGCCTTCCACAATATTCAGCATGAATAGGATCACAGTGGGACGTATAATTTGGCTTACTAGAGAGTAAGGCCTCATGACCTCAACAGGCAAATTTATAGAACCAAATGGTTGTAGAAATCAGAGCCTAAGCAGATGAGGAGGTGCGGGGCTGACTGCTCGAAGTTTTTTCTCTTTTCTCTGAAAGCTCTCCCTGCACTCAGAAAACTCACAAAAGCACTTTCTCTGTACTCAGCCCATCACTCAAAAGCATGTTCAAGGGACTCCCTTGAATCACCAAAAGTTCGAATACAAACATACTGTATTCCAATAGCTAAGGAGAAAAGCAAACAAACTTTCTCTTGGTTTAAGTAAGATCAGAATAAGGCCAAAGATAAAAACAGACTAAGGACAGTGTGAAAGTAGAGCCAAAGTGTTTTGCTGTTCTGGAAAGTTCCTGACAGGATCATTCTGTCCAGATTTACTTCTGCCCGAAAATTGTGTTGGAAACTCCAGAGCCTAAAACAATACATCTCCACCCTGCTTTGTGCATATACAAACCCCACACCTGGCCTCTGGCTACATACAAGCACACAAAGCACACGAAGATCCTGCTTGACAGCCTTCCACAGGCAGGAGAGGGACTGCCTGCCTGCAGTCAAAGTTCTAGATTCTCTTCTTCCCTAGTCACTCACCCTTTAGCTTTTTCAGGTGCTAATCAGGTGAAGAGAGGGGAGATAAAAGAAATAAAATTCTAGAAGAGTCCTTTGAAATTTGCCCTGGGTTAACATGTGTGGAGAAAGGGTTGAGGCCCATGGGCTTGTAACCTGGGTCTGGGGAAATCCTCATTTCCCCACTGCTCTTGATAAAGGCTGGGGATGTACATTCACACTCTGTATATCAAGAGAGACCATTCTGCTGGGGCAGGATGGAGTTTCTATGATTGGGTGATTATGGTCACTAGCCATTTTCGCTGGGCTAGTGTACTTCATTTGTCTTTCCTCATGTGACCCCTATTGCACTTGAAGGACCCTCTTGCCCAAGACTAACTCAAGTGCTATGTGTGGAACCTGCACAGGTGTTCTCTACATGCTGGAATCGGCTCCTGCAGCTCTTCAAAAGTTCCAAGGCCCCAGCATCCCTCTCCCCAAAACCTCTCAATGGCTTGTGGCTTTCATAGCCCCATGGATCCCAAGGAACCCTGGAAGGAACACCTGCTCTAAGAACACTGTCCTCTCTCCTCTGGAGGCTCATGTCTCCTCTTTGTATCTCACTGGGCCCCAGTTAAGAGTGACCAAAGTGGATGGGGACTTCAAGCAATCAAAAGTATCAGTTTTGAAAGATAAGCCCAGGGAAAGAAAATGGTTGATTCAGAATTAGCTCTAACTAATGTTTGTTTTGTACTTGCTATGTGCCAGGCACTATGCTACATGCTTAATACATGTTATCTCCTTTAATCCTCTTAGTACCCTACCAAGTAGGTATTATCCCTATTTTACAAATGCAGAAGCTTGAGGAGTGTATCTCATCCAAGAGCATCCAACTAGGTCAGTGTCAGAGCTGGAGTCCAAACCCACATCATCAGACTGTAAGTCCAGTGGCTCATTTCGGTACTTCCTGTGTGCATGTACAGTGCCTTCTTGCCTATCTCAGGGCTTCCAAATCCTTAGAGTCCAGCTCAGAGACCACCTTTTCTATTCACCCTTTTCTGCTTTCTACAGCCAGAAGTAATATTTTCTCCTCTGAATTCCCACAGCACTGTCCTTGTGCTTCTTTCAAGACACTCATCACACCTTATCTTGAATTATAGTTGGTGTATATCTGATCTCTACTGCGTAGATTGTAAGCATCTGTAGGGAAGAAGCCCCACAACTCTACGTGTCCCACAATGCTTCACCAAGTTCCATGTTATATGTTCAGTAACTGTTCAGGGATGAAGAATAAATGAATAAATGAATGAACAGCATTAAATGTGTACACAGTCATAAGATTATTGCAATATAACTATATAACATTCATCTTTATTAGGAAAAATAATGATGAGAGTATTGTGTCATTTTTTTTCTGATAGTCGGTTAATGCTGAAAAAAAAAAACGATGTAGGTGTGTGCCTTGGAAAACCCTCCTCTGGGAAACATAAAGCCACCCAGTGATTCCTATAGCCACCTACAGATAAGGGATTAATCCTAGTCTGTATAAATTAAGTTACTCTAATAGGACACATTAGATAGGATGGGTCACCTGAGAAGCTTCTTGTTGTCAAAGATTCCCTACTTGAAGAGACAAGGAAAGGAGTCTCCTCTCCACCCACCTTAAACAGAGGTTTCCCTGCCTTCCTAAATCCCAGATACGAGTTAGTCTATGGAGATACCACCCTCTACACAGATACCACTCCACTCTAATCGACAAACACTTTTGAAAGTCTGCTATCCACTAACTTTTTCAATTCCTCCCTCTTAAAAAAATAAACAGAAACTCCCAATTGATCACTTTCTTATGTCAATCTCCAAAGCACTTAATTGTTACTTAAGGTCATTATGAATTTTGGCCTGCTCTGAATTTAGCCATTGACACTCAGCTACTTCCTAAGAGGTCATGCCATATCTTATTCATCACTGGGGACCAGAGAGCCAGGCATGTGACCAAACACAGCAGAAAGTGCTGTCATACTTAACAGCATTTGGATGTTAAATCCAAGGGCTGCAGGGTACAATGAAGGAACACAGGATGTGGGTTCAATCACGACTAGGTTTGAATCCTGGCCATACCATAGACTAGCTTTTTCACCCTGTGAAAGTCATCTGACTTCATAAGCCTCGATTTCTTCACCTGTAAAATAAGAATATTAAGTGCCAAACTGGTTTAATTTTTGTGAGAATTATCTAAAAAAATGATTGGAACTACTTAGCACAGTCCTGGCACATAGCAAGTTCCCCACCAACAGTAGAATGAGAGCACTGCTAAACTAAAATGATAAAACCCTGAGTTCGAATCCCAGCTAACCCAGTAGGTGATTCTAGATAAGCCACTTGGTATCCCTGAAACTCAGTTCACTCATTTGAGTATAGAAATTTTGTGAGCACCAAAATAAACTGTAGCAAATATAGGGCACCCAATAAAGTCCCTCTCCCATTCCAAATGAGCATTCTAGATATTAGTTCTTCCCTTTCTCCAACAGTGACAGCCATTCACCAGCCCTTACAATGAAAGAGAAAAGCAATTGTACAACATATCTCTCCGTTGACTCTTGCTTAGCTATCATTCCTGAGATTCCAATGTGAGAGGAGAAATCGATGTTCTATCAATGAATCATCATTTACAGACCAGTTCGGGAGCTGCCTTATGAAGCAGTGAACTGCCAGCCACTGGAGACAGTCTAGAAGAATAAACGCTTAGTGGAAGTGGGCAGACAGTCCTGAGGAAGGAGCAGGATTCCTACGCAGCAAGTACAGGGCAGAACCAAGTCACCACTAAGGTGACTTTCTACTCTAGAAGTCTGTTATTCAGCTGTGAGTCGCAACCGAGAGTACGGACAGACCATGCCACTTGGGCAAGAACTGGAAGGTTCTTTCTTCATTTCTACAGCTGCAAATAGGGACATGCAGCCACCCTGGTCATGCATGCTAAGATGGAGGCTGTGGCAAAAGACACTGTATGAATGCCATTGACTAGTAGGATCTTCGTATCATTTCTCACAATATAATGCTATGTTTTACATGTGTTCGAAACATAAATGCATTTTGGAAATTATGTCACCTCAAATCAGTTTTGGAAATAGGCAGTGCTTAAATAATATTTTAAATGAGACTGTACAGGGAAAATTATCTTTAAAAACTGTAAGACTATACAAACATATGTATCATCGTTATAATTCAAAATATTTTAAAATATTATATTATTTCAATATTACCAATACAGATTTTAAACTATTTTACACCTTCAGAAGATTCTAATATTGGTGGAAATAAACTAATGAAGCAGTTTTTCAAATCTGTTTTAGGTATAACCATTAAAAAAAAAAAAGCTGTGTCTACACTGAGCTCTTGAAAGATCCAGGTTGGAGTTGGCAAAAGCCAGAGGTGAGAGCCAGTCCAACTGGTTCTGCTCTCTTTAATCAGTGTCCCCCAGTCCCTTTAGAACTGGAATCTAAGGCATTCCCATTCTAGCCCAGGTTTTATCTATGAGCATTTTCATTTTCTTGTCCCGCAGGCCTGTGCCAGGGCTTTTCCGGGGACTCAGCTCCCCAGCCGGGGCCAAGAATGCATAATCACAGTTCCCAGCTCTGCAGATAAATGACCCACCTACTTGTTCTTTCTGCCTGGACAATTGCTGATGGACAGAAGCCCACTGGGGCTGGGCCACCTACCTCCCAGAACTTCACAGTCGCTGTCCATGCTGTCATGCACACCGGCAAAGATGTTGGCCAGAGTGGACTTGCCCACCCCCTGCTCCCCTATCAGCACCACCCGGTAATAGGTGTTCCCTGACTCAGAGGAGATGACTGAATCCGTGGAGTCGGAGGACCAGCTCCGGCGGCAGTGGTCCTCAGGGGCAGCAGAGTGATGGTTGCGGTGGCTGTAGTGATAGGGCTCTTTTTGAATGATCAGATGCCTGCCATCGGCTGGGATGCTCCAGCGCTGCTGCTGTGGCTGCATGCCCACAGTGCCCTGGCGCATGGTGACATTATTCAGAGTCATCATTGGGTCCTGAAGAGCAAAGCAGCCAAGATGTTAGCATTAGTAAGCATGAGCAAGCGCTCAGGAGGCTAAAACACACAGTTAGTCATCAGTGATATTCTATTAGATGGGGTGAGACCCAAAGAGTCCTAACATAAGGAACACCAATGAAACAGTCCCCAAATCTAGGCTTTCAACTAGTCTCACACACATACACACACGCACGCGCGAGCGCACACACACACACACACACAATTAGTACTCAGCTCCTCAGGCACACTGGCATCTGCAGAGAAAAAAAATACCGTTAGCATCACCCACTGGCCTTGAGGTTCCTCCATCCTCAAGGAAACCTTGGGATCCCACTCAGAGCTGGTACAGAGGTAGCCAGAAGGAACCACAGTCTTCAGAGACAACTTGAAAATCAAGGAGTTAATGGAGCTGGGGATCAGCAGGCCAGGTTCGCTGCTCTTGTCTAAACATGGCTCTTGACTGCACTAGCATCCAGTGGGCTTTAGTGCCTTGGTGGGAAACACGTGGCAATGACATCACTCCCCCTGGCTGTATTGGACAAGCACTTATTGGAACTTCCATGTTTAGTAAAGTTCCCCTGATGCTCCCTAGCTGCCTGAATAAGCTATTATATGCGACTGGGTGGGGTGGGTGGGGATTCTGTTCAAGGTTTATGCCTCAGCTCTGCTCTCTTGCCCACAGATATCAGTTTAAACATCCCAGCCCCAAGCCTTGTTGTTCTGGCAGGGAAATGACCTGCTCACGTTCAGACCTATCAAATTTGCAGCGAAAATGCTTCACTCTTATTAAACGACATCCGCTCTGAGAGTTCTTTAATTTAACTCAGATTTCCACCCTCTTGAAGCAAATCAAGGCCAAAGACTCTCCTAAATGACATTCAACAACTTGGCTACAACTTTCCCTTTGCAAGACCTCCTCCCCTTGCACGGAGGTGCGCTCTCCCAAACTGCTTGAGATAAAGTAGAAGCATTCTCATTTTAATCAGTAAGATCCACTCATGAGAATGAGAAGCGCACAGACACTCCCCTCCCCACACTGGCCCCACGCTCCACACTCCAACACATCGACCTCTAGACAGGATGTCCGCCCGGTTTTTTACTTTTACAAGCAGCGCCTCGGTTGGCACATTTGCATTCATACAACAAAAACATGAAGTATCACTGAGGGCTGCCCTCTGACCACTCAGTCTGTAGGAAGAGGTGACCCTCCTACTACTAAACTGAACTGAGGAACCTGCTGATGACAAATGGCATTCTTTTCACCTTAAACTCCGCCCTACCCGGAAAACCAAGATGCCGAAAGCATGTTCCAGGGGTTCAGTTCTCAACATAGAAAGTTTTTCGGGCCGGGAACGCCCACTCCCTCCCCAATCATCCCCCGGCGGCGGCGGGAGGGCCAGTCCAGAAGCGACCCCTTACCTGGCTGGGCCAGGTGGGCATCTGGGTGTCAGTGCGACGGTGCGCGGGTCACCGCCGGGATCCCGGGCCGCAGAGCGCAGGTGCTCCCGCGGAGCTGCCTTCGGTGTAGCGCCCGCAGCCGCCGCCGCCTGGCGGTTTATAGCGCGCCCGCCCGCCTACCCGCACGGGGCTTTTCCGTGACGTCAGCACCCCCGCCGTTAGGGGCGGCTCTGCAGCAAACTCCGAGTTGCAGCTGTCTTGCTAAATCAGTTCCTCGCAGTCATGTGACTCTCTCCCCTTTTGAAAAATAACGACAGTTCAGTCCCGGGTTCCTTTATTTTGATTTATTTTATTTTTACCAGGTGGACGCAGGGAAATGGAAAAATACACTAAATGCCACTTCATCGCGCTTCCCAGCAAAGCACTTGCGAGCTTGTAGGGATAAAGGACGGAGACAGAAGCAGAGTTTGAGTTGCTAGCCCAGCTTTGCCAAAAACAGGGATCAACGGGCTCGCGGAGATTTTAGCCTCTAGGATGGAGCTGCAGCCACTTTGAGAAGTAAGGCCTTGTGTTAGCTGCATCTTCCGCAAGGACAATAGCCTCTGCCCGCCTCCTGTCACATTCTCTCCGGAAGTG